ATATATATATATATATTAGATTTTGAAAATTTAATAAATTAAATACAGTACAAATCAGAATGAATAAAACCTGTGAATTATTCGCCTCTCTGTTTATTTTTCCCGCAATTTCTGTTTAACAGAGAGCAGATTTTTTCAACACATTATTAAACATAATAGTTTTAATAACTCATTTCTAATAACTGATTTATTTTATCTTTGCCATGATGACAGTGAATAATATTTGACTAGATACTTTTCAATACACTTCTATACAGCTTAAAGTGACAAAGGCTTAACTAGGTTAGTAGGGTAACTAGGCAGGTTAGGGTAATAAGGCAAGTTACTGTATAACGATGGTTTATTTCTGTAGACTATCGAAAAAAAACAAAACATTGGGGGCTAATAACATTAACCCTACAATGGTTTTTAAAAAAACGTAAAGTGTGTTTTATTCTAGCTGAAATAAAACAAATAGGGTAAGGGGCTAATAATATTGACCTTAAAATGGATTTAATAAAATTAAATTGCTTTTATTCTAGCCAAAATAAAAATAAGACTTTCTCCAGAAGAAAAAGTATTATAGGAAATACTGCGAAAAATTCCTTGCTCTAGTTAAACGTAATTTGGTTAATATATATATTTATAATTTTATATATATATATATATATAATATTTATTAAACAGGAAAACTAATAATTTTGACTTTAATATACATATATAAATCAGGAGTCCGTGTGCATTTAGTCATTTTGTAAATTGAAACCTACATGGGCACAAACAAGTGCTATTTTAAATTGCATTGTTTAAACATATACAGTACCATGCCAGTATTATGGTATTTATATGTTCAAAGTAGCACAGTACCACGTTTCAGCATTGTCAGCGGATAACTTTAGCCCTGTCGTATAGAAGTGCTCTGAAACGGACACACCCGTGCTGCTGACATCACCGGCTTTGACTCAACATCTGGATTCGTCCCGGTGACCCAATCGCACCTAGCGGCGCTGCTCCGGGCTGACGGAAATCGACTGTCGGGCCACGAAGCACCGTTTACGGGCCAAATTCTGGGCTGCGCCAGCTGCATTCGCCCTCCCCGAAAAGCTACGTCAATGATGCCCTCATGTCTCCGGACGGTTGACGGTTGTCCAATCAGCGTCCGAGATGGTTTTGAAAAACGGCGCTTTTAGCCAATCACAAAGCCAAGCACTGACGTAGGGGCGGGAAGAGAGGCGTGGCTCTGAATCCTAGGGTGTCGCCGTGGTGGCTCCATTCGAAGGCGACGGCGGTTGGTCGGTCGTCAGTGTGTTTGTCCTCTTCTAAACTCAACAAACGGACCCGGTGAAGAGTGTCGGTTCGGTACCAGCTGTCAAACGAGATTCGTCCGATTCGGCATCGCTGGGATGAAGCGGAATATCTTTCATTTGAATCAGATCGCTGGTGTAGTTTGAAGAAAGAGAGAGAGAGAGTCGGGCGGAGGAGCCATTTTGTCCCGACAGTGTGAGAGAAAGAAAGACAAAGACATTAAAAACACCGAACAGCACACTTTGAGAGGATACACACGTCTTAAACGTCTCCCTTGGAGTACAAGAAGAGCCTGCGGAGGAAATTAAAGTAATTCAGCTCCGAAGAGACTGTCCGGTGTGTGTTTTCGGATAACACACGCACACTTTCCCTTTAACACACACTCAGTCTCTGTCCGTTTCTCTTCAGTGTGTGTTTATAAGAGCTCAGATGGCGAAGAAGACCTATGATCTGCTCTTTAAACTGCTCTTGATTGGCGATTCTGGGGTGGGAAAGACCTGCGTGCTGTTCCGATTCTCCGATGACGCCTTCAACACCACCTTTATCTCCACTATAGGTGGGTATCACGCCCGAGCCTACCCGGCATGAGGGTTTTATTAACTGTTTCACATGAGAAATGCTGTCAAAAATGTGTGTGTGCGGATGCTAGGCCTTGATTCTAGGCTTTAGCATGCTAACCGGCTAACTGTTTCACATCAGCTGAGTGAATCACCTGAAATCGGTTGATTCAGAATCATGTTGTAACGTTAGACTTGTGCAGGTTGTTTTGGTTGTCTGATAAAGGCTGTCTTGTTCATCTGTCTCTTTAGATCAGCGTTGGAGCAGTAGTTGAGTTAAAGTTTGATGCAACATGCGGGTTGACTGACAAATAATAATTTGATGTCAGAAGCATAGACTGAAAGAGTTGGCAGTGTTTTATATCTAATAATGATCTTGTTCCAGATAAGATCAAAACATGGTTTTTGGTTAAAGTTAAATGTTTAAGTGGAATGCTAAAATGAATTAAACACCCCATTCCATCAATCATCAGGGTTAAACCTATTAACAGACTGGCACAAAACACAAATACAGGTTAAATAGCGCGTTTGTCTTGTGAATATGTTAAAATAATCGATCATAAGTTATTTTTTAAAGCATAAACAATTCATTAATGTGGCGTCATCGGCTGCGTTGCTGCGCATGCGCGAGACGGCTCATGCCAATGTACTGGTTGCCTAACTGTTTTCTCCACGCTAAACCTGTCATTTCAGTAGCTCGTTGTGTTTTCCGTATGATATCATGGGAAAGTCACATTCGAGATGGGATTTTGGCGGTTTATGGGTGTTTGCTGTAGTTATTAGTCAGGTATGAGAGCTGCAAAAAATCTCTTGCATAGAAAAAACTGCTGCCATTGTGTCACTGTGCTAAACAATTACAATATTTTATGCCAAGGTTTTTCCAAGGTACTTTCTGACTGGCCAGAGTCCAATTTTCCATGGTGCTGAAAAGATGATCATTCTTAAAATGTGATTTGTTCTATTTAAAGGTAAAATTAATTTTCTTTTTGGCACTTGTTTGTTTGACCCTTTTAACGGCAATATCTGTTTCCTAACCGATATTGAGGTAAAATTGGTTTTATATTCACACATTCATTCAGTTACAACTTGTGACTCACTCTTATATTGTTTACTGTTATACTTTAAATATTCTGTCTGAAATTGCATTGACTTTAAAGCATAATTAGCACTATTTAATTAACTGTGAACAATGTTGTATCCTATTTTGATAGTGAGTAGCTGCTAATATGTTGTCAGTAGACCATTAAGATATTGCAAAAAATATTTTTCTGAAATTTAATCATTAAGGAGAAAGTCAGAATGTGTGAATGAATGTAAAACCAACTTTACCCCAATCTGACCCATATCATTGAACATGCATTGAACGGTAACCGGTTTTAAGGTATACCATGGTTTTGAAAAGTCAAGGTTTTAAAACCGTAAAAATGTTCTCTTATATTATTCCTAAGGTATTTTTATGTTTTGTTTTTTATGACCATTTTAATGAGGGTTTTTTTAGGGTAACAGTAGAAAAGGAACCTCCACACATCACAAGCTACTGGTCAGTCCATGATTCAGGAAACATCTGAAAAACAAATCTCTTATACACCCAACTTCCAACCTGCTGTAGAGCTGAACAGTGCCGTGGCTTTACTGTATATCCACAGAAAAGAAAGATATCCAAAGATGCCTTTTCAAGTAATTAAAATAGCATAAGTTATTTAAATGATTTAGCCTGACATTTATTGTTTCAAAATATTTTAAATGTAAAAAACATACCATGTTCAATGGGGGAAAAAGTTGTTGTTTTTAGACAGACATTTAAAAAGAACATATTTTAGAGAAGCAATTACAATACCGTAATATCGTGAAACTTTTCACGATATTACGGTATTGTAATTGCTTCTCTAAAATATGTAATATTTTTACCCAAGGTTATCATACCGTCAGAATCTTATACCGGCCCATGCCTAGTCCCAAAAAGATGGTCCTCACGGATGCTGGTCATTTGATGCAATGGTTTCAACATCCTCTCCTCACAGTTTCTCAATATTCAAATGCCTACAAGTCAAATGAAGTGAGTTTTAATGAGAAGTACGTCATAGATCACAGGAACATATTCTTACCATGGCGTGGGTAGATGTCATTTAGCAGATGCTCTTGAGCTCATTTATGTATGGCAGGGTCATTTTGCTGGGGGTAACAGGAGATCTCCGTCCACACCACTTCATGGGTCAAATTTAGACACAGCCGGCCTTGTGTGTTTGTCTTAAAGGAATAGTTCACCCAAAAATTTTAACTTCCCATTATTTTCTCATACTCAAGGCATCTTAAGTGGATTTTCCATTTTTTTTAAAAGACTACCAATCAGAGTTATATCAAATAATATTCGTTGCAGGCGTTTAATAACCATGAACAGTGGCTGTGGTTTTAGAGGTTCAGAAAGCACATTCATCCATTTATAAATGTAATCCAAAAGTAGACTCATGATGTAGAACACTGACAGACATACAGCAAGCTGTATGACAAGAATTGGCTATGCTATGCTAAGCGTTTTGTAATGTCGTGCTTTGTATCTCGACTCATTATTGTGTGTGAGCAACTGTCAGAAGTCAGTGAGTTTAGAAAGTTGTTGAAACTGACATTTTTGTTACAAAAACCCATTGGTTCACTTTAGATTAGAAGGCATTTATTAACCCACTGGAGTCATATGGAAAGCTGTTATTATTGATGAGTGTGTTTTTAAAAGAGATTCAAACGCATCACTGCCATTACAAAGTTCAGAAGAGCAAGGATATTTAGTCACCTTAGAATTATATGGTTCTAGCTAACGTTTTTGTCAAAATTGAGTTATTGACATATTCTTATTAAATGACAACTTATTTACATTATGGGATGTTTTTTATAAGTTGTTTACATTTTAAGACTTTTTATTTAAAAAAGCAAATCTTACACGCATACTGTTTGCTATGAAATGCAAAAACTTTAAAGCTCAACATTTCAAAATCATTCAGAACACAGATAGAACCTTATAATTCCAAGGTGACGATTTGTTAAAGTCTGCATGAAATCTAAATTTACATTGTTTGTTTTTTGTAGCTCAAATTGTTATTATTAAGTTAAATAATTAATCCATACAAGTTAGTCCACTTAAAGTGTTTTGGTAATATTTATTTATAGCAGAGATGCAGAAAGTTGGCCCATTGTAACTTTTGAATTGGCCCACTATCCCATCAGAGAAGAATTAAGGCTGATTTATACTTCTGCGTCAAGGGCATGCGTGTGCTCCGGCGCATCTTGCCCGTAAACACGTAGTCCTCGACGAGGTTGTCACTGATATGCACCTTTCAAAAAATGTAACTACACGTTGCAATGACGGTTATCACAAGCTCTATGATTGGTCAGCTTGGCATAGCTGATGGATATGGGCGGGGCTGAGAACTGTGCAGGCCTGATGGAGCGAGTGTTTACAAGTGTCGAGTCCCGTGAAGGAGCTCCAGGTGGAATCTTTTGTTTTGTGTTTACCTAATAATTAAATTTATTGCACATCCACCGGTTCCCACCTCGAACAAGTTAAACTACATCTACATTAATGTAGCGTTCAGAAAAAACAAAATAGCAGCAAAACTTTTCACAGAGGAACATAAACACCTACTGCCAGCTAGCATTTCGGAGGTGTTATTGCAGAGCAAACCAAACAGCGCGCAGAAGTATAAATGCACAGCAGCGCAAAGGAATGCGCCTTGGGTTACGATGATCACTCGATGCAGAAGTATAAACCAGGCTTTAAAATTGAAGGTTGTGGCGAATTCCTTCAACAGAGATCATCATTTCTAAGTTAACATAATTTCCATTTGTTTAATTGTTGAGCTACAAAAAATCAACTGAAATTAATTGATTCAATTAAATGTGCATAAAGTAGATTCTTAAAAATGCAAAAACTATCACTCGAAGATAGGAAAAAAATATAGTGTATTTAGCATTGAACACCATTGTGTTATAAATGTGTTTGTTTATATTTTTAATGTAAGAAGTAAAACGTATAATTATTAATATGACTGTAGTATTTTTTTCAAATTATTTTTCAACATTAATAAATTAGGAATGCACCTTGGCAGCTATAATGTAATAGTTTGGTATATTTAATTTTGACCCACGCTCTCAATCAAGTTTGGGTTTTGGCCCTTTATAAGAAAATGTTTGAGCACTCCTAATTTAAGGTCTGACCATTTTCTTCTGTCTTTGGAGTGGCGTTCTTTTCTGTTAGCAACTGTATATTAATATGAATAACCACGCCCCTCTTACCATTAGATTGCTATGAGGTAATGATGCACAAAAGAAAGCCCCACCCCCTTCTCATTATTTCATTTCAGTTGTATGTAAATCAACATACTGAAATAAATCTCAGGAACTTCCTGTTTGCATGGACATTAATAATGGACAAAAAGATTGTGTTATAAAAAAGGTTTATAGTTTCAAAAGAGCTTGAGTGTGTGTAAATTATGGGCTAATTTTCTTTTTTGGGCATACCATTCTTTACAGCAAGCTTTAATGTGCAACATGAAAGATACTTAATATAATTAATTTCATTAAGTGTGACGGGTAGTCATTATTAAAATATTCCTCTTGCCTTTTGTCTGTTTATAGAAGGTTATTGGCCTGTGACTCATGCGATGAATGTTGAAGCTTGTTCCTGAACAGAAAAAAAAATCAAAACTGACCCAGTTTACTTGGATAAAACACGTTCCTGGTTTTTCTAAGCTATACTGTGAATGATTCATCAGCACGTTACACCAAAGAAAAGCATTTGATATAAAATGAGGGCCTGGTTCATAACTTCTGAAATGACATTACATTTTCGTTGGCAGTCATTGAGTAATTATTAATAAAAAAATAAGTACATTTCTGAAACACCTTTAATCAATTGTATATATCTTTAATACCAAATATAAAGCTGAATAGAGTCATTGCTCGAGTTTTAAACTGAAAATGATCCTGTTTGGCAATGAAAACAAACATT